CTTTTTTTTGGGCCAGAAACTCCAGCCAACCCCCCGACCCTCAGCCCCGGCGGGGCTGCTCTGATCCAGGCACGTAGCCAGCAGGCCGGAAGCCGGTACACGGAGGCGTTACCTTATTCCCGGACCCGGGGACCAGTAACGCCGAGTTTAATACCCCAGCGACTAAATAGCTGTGTCTATGTAACACCTGCCTGGAACTGAACCTGGCACCTCTGGAGCTTGGTGTCTGAGCAGTTACAGCTTGAGCTAAAAGCCAGCAGCTGGCTTTCCTCTATGGTTGTAGAGGAGACTCATTGGTTCTCTCAGTGGGATAGTACACCACACCTAGTAGGCGTGCAGGTTACATATAGGTGTCTGTACCCCTGTGGAAAGGTCTTTCTTCGAGAGCTCCATTTTCTAGCCTCGGTTGACCACCAGCCATGTTCCCAGAGCTACTTCAGGAGGCAGTAAAGCCTTATCCTCTTCTGTCACCCTGCTAATGGATGAAATATTCATTTAGGGTGGTAATTACCCTGTTTAGGAGAGACCTCGACAAGAAAAGCCTTGCTATCTGGAGGGTGACTCAGTGACAGTTCTCAGTTCCTGTTGACTCATCACTAGTCCTGACATAGTTGCAATGGGGAAAGCCACCCCTGCAGGAAAATCTCAGTGAAGGCCAACACGAGCCTGTCTGCACTGGGACCAGAGGTGCCCTACCCTACCTGTGCTCAGGGTTGGTGCTGCTACAAGGCTGCTAGGGCAACTGTCTTCACTAGATTGACTTGTCTGAGAACCTTCTTTGAAACAGTGTTACACAGCTAAGACACTTAATTATTTTTAGAAGCATTCACTGGTGGCCCAGCTCCACTCCTGTTAGTCCTGGGAACCCTTCTTAAAGAGCAGAGGTAGATTAGTGCTCAGGAGTCTGGGAAAATGCCACTTCTAGATGACACTACACTTCCTACCATGCTACCAACACAGCCACCTGGCAGGTTGGTCTTCCAGAGTACGTGGCTCCGAACTGTTACCTTCATCCTATCACAACTTTGCTGAAGTCCCTTGGGAAATGCCCAGACTGCATTTTGCCAGTATCTCTGAATGTATTAGATACTCCTGGGGGTTTTTTATGCAGGCTCACATAGGGGTATAGTTACACAGCTTTCAAGTCCCTGGGCTTGCATTGAGCTATGCTACTTAAAATGATTTTGTGCAGCTCAAAGTCAAACTGTTGAATTTTGATCCCTTATATTGATGGCTGGCCCACTAGGGAGTGGCTGTGTGTTGAAAGCTGTCTAATCACCACATCCTGGACAATGGGAGCTTGGTTTCTCTGCAGGTCACAGCCTAGCAGTAGGCGCATCCAATCACATCAAAGCTCTATGCTGGGCTGATGCATGTTGTGTCTACCCCATCAGTCACTAGGACAACAGTCTTTCAGCTGAACAAAATAAGCATTAATAATCTGGGTGGGGTGGAGGGGGCTGGCTAGTGATGTTGCTGCATGGGGAAGTGTTTGCTGCAACTGGCCAAATGATTCATCCTCATTTCCAGCTTGTGTGGGTTAATCGGGCTTAACTTGCCCCTGATCCTGACTGCTGTCCTAGAGACACATTTGCTTCCTCCGCCCTGACTTTGCACTGAGGCTGTGTACCTCAGCTTTACATATAGTGTCTTCATGCACACAAACTTGGAAGAACTCTTCTCCTGGTTCAAGCAACCAAAAATAAAAATGTCATCTTCACTATTGAATGAAAGCCTGGCTGGACAGACCCAGGATGTGGGCTGAGTTAGTGATGAAATCATCTATCACCAAACCTTTTTTAAACTTGAGACAATTAGTGACACTTCCCTATTTGCAAAATTCCTGCTCTCCAAAGCAGAGAAATGGATAGCTTAGGGCGTAGATTTTGCATGGCCCAGACAACAAAGACATGTACTAAATGCAGAGTGATGCCTATTTCCAGGGCTGGTCCTAACCAATTGGCGACTACCTGGCTCGCCTGTAGGGTTACCAGATGGTTTCAAAAAAATACCAGACAAAAATTTGTCAAGCCAAAAAAAAAAACCCCCAGGGAAAATGGGAGGAAAGGGACGGGGGAAGACTTGAGAGGTTGGGCTAAAATGACTGGCTCTGTCAGTGGCCCCTTGAAAATGGCAGTCCCGGGCAACCGTCCAGCTCGCCCACCCCTAAGACCAGCTCTGCCTATTTCATCACCCTGTGGAACAGCATTCAATGTGGGTCAGAGATGAGGGTATGTCTGTATAAACCTCCAAAAGATCCTAAATGCACACAGGATGGCTACGTCTATGCTACATTCTTCTTGTGCAAGAAGCCTTTAGAGCAAGAGTTTTTGTGCAAAAACTTCTTGCGCAAGAGCATGTCCATACCTCAAAGCACAAGAGAGCATCCATGCTGTATAGACACTCTTGTGCAAGAAGGCTCTGATGGCCATTCACAGAATGGCCATCAGAGCACTTGTGTCTTTTTCCCATAGAGGTTTCTTGCACAAGAAACCCCTCTGGAGCATCCACACTTGCCTTTTTTCACAATAGCTGTAGTGCAAAAAGGAGTTATGCCTCATAAAAGGAGGTTTACCTACACTGGCAAAAGCCCCCTCTTCTGCTGTTTAATTACTGATTTACTTGCGCAAAAGTGTATTTGAGGTGTGGACATTCCATGGGTTTTTGCACAAAACCCTTGCAGTATACGTGTAGCTGATAAGTTAAACTTAGCTAGTAACCTAATGAAGCAGTAATGCCTGCACTTCTCTTCATGCCAGATATTTAAATGCGTTTAATATCTCAAGTTGAGCATGGGAGCCAAATCAAGAAAGTGATGTGGACTAGGGAATGATGAAGCCAGGTTTTCCGAGTCTCTTAGTCTCAGGTCTGCCATTAATTCTGACTCCATTTGCCCATCTCACAAATGGCTGGTATGAATGGCAAGAGCCCCCTGCCTGCCTCTTGCAGTGGGATACCAGTATCTCCACTTGGAATGGGAGTGGCTAGTATAAGGTGAATGGAATGCCAGAGGCCAGGGATGGAGTGATGTTAAAGTCTTGGTTGATGCAATGTAGAAAGTGGCCGAGTGTGGCCCAGATTTTAGACCTCTATTTACTGCTCTTGTTTTGCTTCCATCTAGACAGGGGCGGAGTCCGTTGGTCTACGTCAGAACGCAGCTTGTTCCCCTGCCACACCTCGTGCATCCCTCAGCTTCTCCAGCGCCACCCAGAAGTTTGCAAAATGGTTGGATTCAAGCCCACCGATGTGCCCCCGACAGCCACAGTGAAGTTCCTAGGGGCTGGGACGGCTGCGTGCATCGCGGATCTGATCACCTTCCCCCTGGACACGGCAAAAGTTAGACTGCAGGTGAGACTTCTTGCAGGCACATGTACAGGGCCTGCAGTGCCCGCTCTGAGCTCAGGGCTGTTGTGGAAGATGTGGTTTGAGCTTTTGTTATGGCACGTTGCTGAGCAATGGCAGATGTGCCTTTGTGTGTCATTCATAGCTATGTCTGTTTTAAGCCTGCCAGCCCCAGCCAGTCCAGTAAATGTGCTAATATGTGGTCCCAACGAGTGACTCCATTGCTGCTTTCTTTAGGCAATAATGTCACAGTTTAATCCATTTCAGTGCAGATCCTAGTAGATATCAGTCTGAAATTTTCTTCCCCCCCCCATTGTTCCTAATTACACCCCTTTGTACTGGCCCCTCTTTGGTGTGTATCCCTTTAACAATCTGTGGACTTGCCCGAGCTGCTCCTTGCGCCTTATATGCACAGCTTGGCCGTGCCATGCCTTTAGCCCTCTAGCTCTTCCTTCCAGCCGCAGGGCCAATCCTGCAATGGGCTGAGTGCTTCTTGTCAAGCACCGAGCGCACCCACAAGCCTTGCCGCTGCGAGTCACAGGAGCATGCGTCTCTCCAAAAGTCCTTTGGATTGGAGGAGGGGGAAACGAAAGCTGCTGTGTTGCTGGCTCAGGCGTTAGAAGCTTTCATTGGCCTTGAGGGAAAGGCTGCAGGGGCCTCAATGGACTCATTGGGCTGGGCTCTTGGTGCAAACCTGGCTTGGGCCAGTGGGGCTCTAATGAGACTGGCTTTTGCACTTGGCCTAGATTTGGGGGGATGGGGCATCATTCATATTCAGGCCAGCAGCAGGCCACTTGCTATGGGCCCAGGTGGGCAGTTGCTCTTTCCCCTCCTCCCCCCGCAGACTTTTCAGAAGTCATTTAAATTTAACCTAATGACCCTTTGTCTGGGCCACTGGAAATTGGTTCTGACCCAGCCCGTTCGTGTTCTAAGCTTGTGCTACTGTCAGATGCGCCTGAGGCAGCGGGGGCCACCCCAACTCACAGCTTTTTTTGCAATTTCTGCTTTAACCACCAAGGACCTGAAGGTGCAGTCCAGCCCCGGTCTCCAGGACGGAAAGGCGGATCGCACGTCAATGCAGGCGTCTCATGGGCTGGGGTAGTGAGTTGGGCCAGAACCCCAATCACTGTAAAGCCTCTTCATCCCATTCTCTCCTGTACAGATCCAAGGAGAGACCAGGTCAGCAGGTAGCACACATGCTGTTCAGTACAAAGGTGTCTTTGGCACCATTGCCACCATGGTGAGGACGGAAGGTCCCAGGAGCCTGTACAACGGCCTGGTGGCTGGGCTCCAGCGTCAGATGAGCTTTGCATCAGTCCGTATCGGGTTGTACGACTCGGTGAAGCAGTTCTACACTAAAGGGTCTGACAGTGAGTGCCTGCTAGCCTGAGAACTTGGTGTGGGCCTCTGTCTCCCTCTAGTGGTTGGGGTGTATAAAGGTTTGCCTCTGTGGTGGCCTCCGAGCAAATGGACCAGGTCCTCTAGCTCAAGCAATAACAGCTCATGGTCTGATCCAGAGGTTGTGGGTTCTCCCCCCGTCTCAGAGGGAGTCGTGCGTATCTGTTGTAATGGGTTCAGCTGAACTGAAATTAACTCCTGTTGCGACCAGATGAGTGTCCCAAGTGGGGCCTGTGTATTTATGGGCACTGTGCTAGACTGCCAATAAGGGAGTCTCTTAGGGGCTCAGCAACTCGTATTGCTGCTTGTGATAATTGCCGCACAAGGGCTTTGAGTCCCTAACACTGAGAGTAAGGGTGGCTTTGTGGCGAAGGCGGTGGGAGATTTGGCAGCCATTCTCCATGGCATTAGGCTAAGTCATTTAAACCCTCCATTGCCTCCCTTTCTCTTAGTGGGGACAACAAAACTCCTCCCTCAATGTGTAAGGGGCTCTACTTCTGGGGAGTAGAGCAGGCTAGAAAACCATTACCCATTGGTTAAAGGGCTAGTCTGGGCCATGGGAGACCAGTGTCAGGTTCTTCTGTCACAGGCTCAGTGTGTGACATCTACCCACAGGGTAACAGCCCTGCCCCGCCTTTAAAGTCCAAGGCTCCTTTGGGTTAACTTGATCTTCCTCTTTCTGGTCTCACTTGATTCCCTGCTGTTTGCTAGATGCTGGCATAGGTAGCCGACTCCTGGCTGGCTGCACCACAGGAGCAATGGCGGTGGCTGTCGCCCAGCCAACAGATGTGGTGAAAGTGAGGTTCCAGGCCCAGGCTCGAGTGGAGAGTGGCAGGCGATACCACGGGACTTTGGATGCCTATAAGACCATTGCCAAGGAGGAGGGAGTCAAGGGGCTGTGGAAAGGTTGGTGCAGTTACAGAACCCTGCATGCAAGGGGCTGGTTCTATAGCAACACTGGGTATGTCTACACTGTTTTTAATTAAAAAAAAAAAAAAAAAAAAAGAGCAGTGGATCCTCTCAGAGCCTAGGTCAGCCGACTCAGCCTGACAATATGGGACTAAAGAGCAGTGTAGACGTTCCTACTCCGGTGCCGAGACCTGCCCCATCACAGGATTCTAGCCTGAACAGTTGGGTCTACACTGTTTTTATCTCCATCGTCCAACTCTGTTGACATTAGCATCTGAGACTTGCTGCTGGGAGTTTTGCAGTGTAGACTTACTCAAAGAATCTGTTTTGCTGACAGGTTTTTTTTCCTTGTTCTGCAGGAACATCCCCCAACATAGCCCGTAATGCGATTGTGAATTGCACTGAATTGGTGACCTATGACATAATAAAGGACACGCTGCTCAAAAACAACCTCATGACAGGTGGGTGTCGCAGGCTCCCTGGAAACTCAGGGTTGCCATGGAGCCTGGGTATGATTATTGCCAGATGCTGAGTGCTTTCAGCTCAAACTTCACTGGGTAGCGCGGAAGCTAACTGCCAGCCAGGCGTAGATACATGCAGAGCTAACTCTGACTGAGGACATGGGCTCCTACTCCTAAAAGGCATGAGATTGCTTGGTGCAGGCTGGACTGCACTAGCAGATGTTACTCCGGCGTGACGTGGCACCCCTGCCTTAGGACTGTTGCAATCACTGGAAGATCAGGCTTTCCTTAGACACACTAAAGATTGCACAGGTGAAATGACCAACCCGCTTGCTATGGCATTAGCTGAAGTGGGTGTTAGGCTTATTCTCCTGCTGGTGAATTCTCCCCTGTGATTGCTGCTGGCGGAGAGTGGGATAAAGAAATGTTCCCAAGCCACAAGGGGCTAACGGAGCCAGTCCTTGGCTGCTGTGGGGGGCTGGGGAGGGTGCTGGCTGGGAGAGCTATGTAGCAGCAGATCCATTGGCTAAAGGAGCTCACCAGCCAGGTGCGAGAGGCATGCACGAAATGCAAGTACTTCCCCTCACTCCCTGCTAGTCCGGGAATGGGATGAAAAGCAAGCCACATCCCAGAGCGCACGGCTGCTGCCTGCCCTACCTTCTCAAAATGGCACCCTTGATCCCATGGCACTGTGCTCCTGCCAGACTTCCAGAAAGTCCTGTGGAACTGCACCAGGCGGGAGGGGTCAGGGTTTGCCCCTGAAGTGCATACTGCCTGGCCTGATGCTGTGCCTTGTTCCCTGGCGAATGCTCTAGTGGTGCTAGATTAGCCCCCAGGCAGCTGTGAGCCAGGTCACTGACACACATGGCTCAGCCCCCATCTCCTCTCTGTCTGGCAGATAACCTCCCGTGTCACTTCACCTCTGCCTTCGGGGCCGGCTTCTGCACCACGCTCATTGCTTCCCCCGTGGATGTAGTGAAGACCAGATACATGAACTCTGTCCCTGGCCAGTATGGCAGTGCCATCAGCTGTGCCCTCACCATGCTGAGGAAGGAGGGGCCCGTGGCTTTCTACAAAGGGTGAGTGGAGAATCCTAGCACTTGGTCACACTATGCTAGTGACTTTCCATAGGGCTGTACTGCTGTAGCTGCATCCCTGCACCTGCCACAGAAATGCAGCCACCTCTGGTGTGGGTCCCAGGTTCACAGCAAAGCTCTGCACCGAGACAGCAAGTGGAAATAGTCCCGCCTAGGGAAGCTGTGAGTAGTGGGGAGAACCTTGGGCAAGAGAATGGTTCTGCTTGAAGTGTCTAAAGCCCTTGGGTCAAAGTGCAGGCTGCTCCCATGACCAACTAATGCATCAGGGCTGAACTGATCCTGAGGGAGGGGGAGGGAAAGGAAGAGGCTGGAGCCATGCTAGGAGGGATCTGTTTCCAGGGTGACAAGCTCTTCGGGAGTGGATCTGGAGACCAGTGGCTGAGTTGAGGGGGCAGTTGTAGTCTGCAAAGGAACCATGTGCAGGGCTTGTCCCTGATTGTAGATCTGCTCTTAAGTCAGGGGCCACTGATTGTGTAACGCCTGAGTAAACCAGCAGCGTGAGCCCCGTGGAGCTGGCCCGGCCGCTGGAGCACCAGCTGGACTCTTCTCTTTACACTTCGTCAACAGAACCCTGGAGGCAAAGGGCTGTCACTGGTGTGACTGGGAATAACTCAGCCTACTGTGCAGGGGAGGTGTCACGTGGGAAGGGTCTGGCTTGACACAAATTCCAGGTTTGCTGTCAGTACTGCAAACTCAGACCATCTTGCTTAGAAACTGAACCTGTTTGACCTGAAAACTAATGTACGTGGAGCTCCAGTTCTAGTCTGAGCGCTGAACTGCACTCGGAGGTTTCTGCTTCCATGTAGCTTGGTCTGATCAGTTCCTTGCTGAAGAATCACTTGGGTTCACATCAGCTTATCTCACCATGCACCTGCAGCAGATACATGCAGGGGAGTGACCCAAAAGCAGAAATGCAGGACATTCTAACCCAGGGCCCTAGCTCTGATTTCTTCTCCCCTCTCGCTCTAGGTTCATGCCCTCGTTCCTGCGGCTGGGATCCTGGAACGTGGTGATGTTTGTGACCTACGAACAGCTGAAACGTGCCATGATGGCTGCCCGCAGCTCCTGGGAGGCCCCTTCCTGAGCCTGCCGATTGGTGCCATTTACATCCGCTGGCGCTGTCTGTCCTGGCGGCTCTCTCTCCAAGATTGTCTCCGGACTCTTCTGAAATGCCTTCGGGTCTCCAGCCTGTCAGCTTCCAGACTCTGAACACTTGATTCCTGTTCACCTTGAACAAAGCTTGGCCTGGAAACCTCTTGTTAATGAGGCAGGAGAGGAGACTTAGCTGTGGTCCACAGTGAGTGGAAGCAGGAGCCTCCTCCGCCCTAGTAGTGAATGTGGTGATGGTTTAAAAATTCACAAATCCCAATTGAATGGCAAGTTTTCTTTCTCCAAATTAGAAGGACAAATGTAACATTTCCCAGTGCCAAGGGCTGACAGAGCTAGGATGGCGTGACCTTCTGAGCCATTATGTGGGAGAGGTGCTAGAGTTAGCAGCTGGTATGTAGCAGAGCCCCACAGCAACAGCCAGCCCTGTTACTGACAAAATCCCTCAATCCGGAAAATGCTGGTCTAGAGCTTTGTGCAGCAGCTGTTCTGGGGATAGTCAAGGACTATGTAAGGATTCCAGGGCAGTGATGCTGGAATATTGGGGAGGAAGGTTGGTGGTTTTTTAAAGTCCTAGTAACTATTTATTTTTTAAATTAAAGTGGAGAAAATGTGGTTCTGCTCCTCACGCCTCAACTCTCCTGCTGTAACTTTGTTTTGGTAGGACAGCAATTCTGTGGTGGAGCAATGAACACACATGTTTCATGTCTTAAAATAAAGCTGGAGTCCAACACTTCGTCTGTGCCTTGTGAACTTAATTTGCTGAGGAAAGACCTGGTCTACTGACTTTTGCTCATAATAGACTAGGCCTTTATGCATGGTCCTTGTCATTCAATCTGTGGAACTCCTTGCCAGAAGATGTTAAGACCAGGACTCTTAACAGGATTTTAAAAAGAGCTAGATAAATTCATGGTGGATAGGTCCATTAATGGACCTATTAGCCAGGATAAGTGGGAATGGTCTCCCTAGCCTGTCAGAGGCTGGGAATGGGCAACAGGGGTGGAGTCATTTGATGATTGCCTGTTCTGTTCATTCCCTGTGGGGCACCTGGAATGGCCACTGTCAGGAGACAGGACACTAGGCTAAATGGACCTTTGGTCTGACCTAGTGTGGCTGTTCTTATGTTCCTGGTCAGAAGCTGCTGTGGTCTCTGGGTCCTGAATGGGGCACCTTCAAGCTTCTGTGGGGTGCACCTCTCTTTAAAAAGGCGCCACTGAAAACCTTGTTAATCCAGCTGTTTCTATGCTTCCATTACAGGCAGTCCCCAAGTTACGCGGATCTGCCTTATGTCGGATCCGCAGTTACGAACGGGGCTTTTCTCTCCCCAGAGGACGGGAGCGGCGGGACACCCAGATGCGCCGCGGTCCGCCGCCCCTGTCCTCCGCGGCGAGAAAAGCTGCTCCCCGTCTCCCTGGTCAGACCAGGGAGACGGGGAGCAAAGCCTTGGAGCACGCCCGCAGGGGGACAGCTCAAGCGCGCCTGGGCTGTCCCGCTGTGGGCGTGCTCCAAGGCTTTGCTCCCCACCTCCCCTCCGA